TAGTTGGAAGAGTTAAGCATAGCGGTGGAGGTGTTCTTGTGTGTGGGTGCATGGCAGCATCAGGACTAGGTAATTTGGTATTTATTGATGGCATAATGAATCATTCTCTTTATTTAAAATTATCAGCCAAAAATTTCGGTATTGAAAACAACTTTATTTTTAATCATGATAACGATCCTAAGCATACGGCTCTCAACGTTCGCCTGTGGTGTCTCTATAATTGTCACACAGGTTTTGAAAACACCACCTAAGTCGCCAGATTTAAACCCCATAGAACACATTTGGAAAGAACTGGAGTACAAAAACACGACATCAAAAACGAAAAGCGAAACTCAAAAACAGTCATGATGGAACATTGATACAGAAATTGATATAGAAATTACAAACAAAACTAGTAAATTTTACTCTCATAACTTTTAAAAGCTGTTGTGGATGCTAAAGGATATCCTACTAAATATTAATTTAACGAAAAATGAAAATATTTACTAATATGTCGAGATTTTTTTGAAGTGTACGAAGACTTTTGTGAGATAAAATATTTGTCATTTATTGATTATTAATTTCTTGAAAATAAAGTTTTGCTATATTTAAAACATATTTCATGTAATTTTGTTACGAATAGATTATAGATCATATTATTAAAATATCATTCACAAAGTTTACTTTTAATCAATGGATAGAGCCCTATTTCAATGAAAATCATAAGTGTATGAACACTTTTGGGAGCCACTGTATATCCACTCTGTTACTCGGCTCAGTGATCTCAGTTTCCTTATTCTTATATGTTTGTAAATTGTGAATTTTTTGCTTTAAACTTGATTGAATTATCTTCCGGTTAAGGTTTTTATGCCTTTAGTAAATGTGTATGAAATATTTTTAGAATTATCAACAATTTAAAAGTTGTTTAAGTGCCGCTAAGCCTAATAATTTTTTCCATGGCGGCCATTACTTGTTTACGTTTGAAACAGCAGAATAGCAAATTTGTTGCCAGTCTGGAGAAAGTAAGCTTCCCAATAACGCCTTCTTTTATTATTGCGAATTAAGTCATGCTTAACCCATTCTGGAATTTATTCGAGGAAATAAGTGTTTAAGATTTACTTCATAATTTTCAATACAGACATTTTGAGTTTTTATGTATTTTTGCCTTCTCGCAAAGTGAGAACTGAATTAATTGAATGAGAAATACTGAGTCGTCTGTGAAAAACTGTTTCTTTTTTTTTTTTTTTTTTTCTTCTTCTTTGCTTAATTTCTCTTATACATCGTTTTAGATTTATTATAGTATTTGAACAGAACATGTGGCAACGATTAGATAATTCTTAAGATGATATAAATTTTGTGCATTCTGAGTTAAAAAATGAACGAAATATAACGCTGTTAAGTGAACCTAGGACCAGAGTGTCGCTATGGTAAACAAATATAGTGAATTTTAAAGAGTGCATTTATTCGATTGTGGTTTATGCGCTATCGACGAAAGTATTATTGTTATGTCATTAACTAGTAATAGGCCTATTCTGTCTTATCGTGATGCCCTTAACTTATAACACGCCTTCTGTGTTCTGTACTCATTTTCCTGTAACTTGCTTTATCTTGTAATCTTTACCTCTTATTGTTAAATTTGTACAATCCTTGATATATTATTAATGTACTTTACTCAATTGTATCTCTCTATGCCCTTGTTTGGCCATGTAAATATTTCTTTAATAAATCTGACGCCTGGGCGACGGGAAGTGGGTCCCCTATGGGCCTTTGGTTCGTTGAACTGCCCTGGGTGGATCCGGCGTTGGGCTTGGTCTCTCTGTGCGCGGCTCTCGTGTGGCCTCTTTGGCTGCTCTAGATCTTAGGGGGCGCGGTGCTGAACTGATTCACCCTATGGTAAGCGATAAGCAACGGAGGACGTGGGCACTGTCCCTTTACCAAAAGGTTAATCGGTATAGCACCACGTTCACCTATATCTAGAGCCTAAAGAGGAATTACAAGACGCCTCGCACCGGGCGCCCAAACCCAGAGCCAAATTCAACCCGGGGGCAGTCCAACAGACCAAATGCCCACGAAAGACAGTCCCAACAACCGCCCAGGCCCCACATTTATTAAATAAAATAACAAAAGTATGCAGGGCCAAAAAAGGGCGAGTTTGGACAATAAGCAAAAATTTTACAAAGGTGTAATACACACAATATAGAATTATACATAAGCTAAAGTACAGTCTGATGTTGGGCAGCCCAATAATATACAATGAATAAATATAGACAGTAGAATTAGACTTAATGACAATATAACATAAAAATAGAGAACATAGTGAAATAATGAATGTAAATGATTACAGCAATACACAGAGGATATACCAAAAGAAATAAAAATAAAAGAATACAATGTAACAGAATGCAATAGCGGTACAATACACTTGATCACGTGGTATTGTGGGAAAAACATGCAATAAGGCTAATTATACGATTATGAGGAATAAAAATAACATATATTCGTTAACTTTTATGCAGGCTAAATAAGATACTATACAATACTATACAATATTACAATACAATACAATACAAAAAAAAAATAACATATTTAACCTGTACTAAAAGCCAACTGATATAAGATACTATACAATACTATACAATACCACAATACAATACATACGATACAGTAGATACAATACCACAATATAATACGATACAGTAGATGCTATACAATACTATCAATGAAAATACAAAATACATTCAGTGTTGGTGACACAAAAATACATTTAAAATTGTCATGACACTAGTGATGAAAATACAAAATACATTCAGTGTTGGTGACACAAAAATACATTTAAAATTGTCATGATACCAGTGATCCTAATGCAGCAAATAAATTGATGCAGTTACCTGGTAAAAGTACAGTGCTCGCGTCTTCCGTCAATGGAATGGAATGGTACTAAATTCTGAGTACTTTTCCGTTTCGCCGGCGCAAATCTGGCCAAGCAGAATTTATTGGCGACAATGTATAATATACACATAAAAAAGTTAACAAATGTTAGTTCTAAGAATTTTTTATTTTGATGGCATAAACATTTCAATATCGTTTAAAATTTTGTAAAAGGCCAATAAATAAAGACAATAAATTTGTAAAAAGACATTACTTAATTTACTATGCTTTCACGGTTCAACATCCTGATTCCCCGGTTCATATCACGTTATCCCAAGTGATCTCACGTAAACTACACTACAAAAATCTAATTTTCTCAGTAATTATCTATATTAATTTCAAGTTAAATCTTAATTTGGAATACAAATTTAGTTGCAAGAATTATTTTAATTCGTACGAATAGCTTATTCAGAAATTATGTAAAACCGCAATGCTTTACTTCGCTATTTCGCCTTCAATTCCAGTGTCACTTATTTCAGATTTAAAAGCTCTGAAAATTCTATAACTTAATACTTTGCACAGACACCTGTAAATACGTGTTACGTGGAATTTTAAATAAAATTCGAAGCCAAATTATATTAATGTATAAACAAAAAGCGCAATAACTGGCTTATTTGGTTATGACGAAGCACGCCTAAGAGTAACCCCGTGAAGGATTTTCTAAAACGATTTATACAATATAATTTAACATTTAGCTACTTGTATAACAAATACTGTTTTTACCTACGGAAGGCAGTTTTTAATTATTACAGAGTTATTAGAATTATTTGTATTATGCAAAGTACGCGAGGGCGACCTGTCTAAAACGAGAGATGCTTTTCAGGGAAAAGCTCTAAAGAGAATGGTTTCGTACCCATGTTACACATGGAGAAAACATGAAAACTCTCCTTTAGCGAGCCCGTTCGCCGGGAGAACACAGGTGTTTAGCTGTCTTACCGTGTCGGTATGTGCCTACAGACCACTAGCATAACGATCCACGACTGCTTTCGCGAAAGCGTTACGGGAAATGCTGTTCTGAACATTTTCTGGAAAGACTTTTATTGGTTTATTAGATTAAAGCAAAGCATGGCTATCCGCGTAAAACAGGGTTTCTTAAACCTTTTTCAGTCGCGAAGAAAAAATGGGTATAATTTAATATTCCGTACAAGGAAGTCATGTGGTGCACACATCAGATTTTTTATTATTATTAATGTCTTCTGTGTTTTACTTTATTTATTAGATACCACATAAAATTCAATTTGGCAGCAAAATCACTTGGGAATCGTGATTCTCTTAAGAAAAAAATCGTGAAAGCTTTATAAAACGTAAACTAGATAATAAAACAGACTCCACGTTCAAAATGAGGGCTTCAAGATGCACGTGTTTGAGTAGAGGACTATGTTATTCAAGACTCTTGGTACCATTGTTTACCAATTGCAGACGGTGTTTACCAATTTTCAAAACGATTTCTGGGCCATTTAATTAATGTTTAAAATGTAAAGAGTATTTTTTAAATATCCCAGCTGATAGCTATTTTTGAATATAAGTCAGTATCGTAATTTTGATAACAGAAAGAAATTTAAAAAATAATTTCTTTTGATTTCCATTCCTCTTTGGCTACTTCCCAGAGTCCGTCCATTGTGGCGGGTGTGCGTTCAGAAAGAGCACTTTTCAAGAGACCAAATACACAAAAGTCGAGCCGCCCAACCGGTATACCGCTTAGTGTCGCTGACTGCCGTGACGAGGCGCTTGGTTCAAATCCCGAAGAAAGCATGGTTGTTTGTAAATGTATAGCGTCCGTGCGGCATGGAGGTACTCTAAATATCCGGTGAGCCGAAATTCCTCTCCGGAAGTTTATGGTAGGTTAAAAGAGGTAGAAGACCCTCGGACCCGTCCCGCCAGGGGTGCTTGACAGGGATATTTAATTTTAAATTGTGAAGTTAAAAATCTTCACATTTTCAAGTTGCCTCGAGAGTTCGGTTGATTAAGTTCGACTCATTCGAGGAAATAAATTTAAATGATGTGCTGTAAAAAAGTATGTAGACGTACAAGGAAGTCATGTGGTGTCCACGTCAGATTTTTTAGATAATAAATAATATTATTGAGGAACTTACCTTCAAAATAAATGTTCGTATTTCCTTCAATAATCAGCAAATTCTTACTGCAGAAACTCGAATCAACATCTGAAAAAGGTATTATTAATACATTAAAGTTTCTTTTCAGATAAGCAAGAACAATTTGAATGTAAATTTTAAGAAGGAAAAACAAACTTATAGTTTTATTTGATTTAAAAAAAAAGCAGTTTGCTATAAATATATATTTTTTTATTCTTAGAGCACACTTTTATAACTGTAATGTTTATCCTAAGTTTTTAACAATTATCTTTAGTTAAAGCTACTTTCCTGTCACTTCTAATTTCATCTCACAATTTCCTACTAGAATGCGTTTTTAGAATCGCGGGTAATGCAAATGAGTAAGAGCGGTACTTAAGTCGATTTTCCACTGACTTAATTAGAGAGCCAGAGATTCTGACTAGCGCGCGTTCCCCTTTTGGCCACACACTCATTAAGCTATTGCTACGCTCGGCCGTATCTCAGGCCCTTGATAGCTTCGCCAGTCTAGTTGATAATTAGAGGCCAATTATTTAGAATTTTGATAGCTTCGGTAATATCTTTTGCTTGTTCTCGCCGCTCATTTCAAGCGTTAATAAAAAAAAAGTTACTTAAAACCTTCTTAAAATTTTATTGTAATATTTTAGCAGGAAGGATAGTTTGCTTGTTAATCTAATAAGGAATCTGAAGGATTTTTGAGTTAAATTACTCCATTAGGACCCTATAGCTTTCATAGGAATGGTCTCCTACCTGCGGTACCTACATCAGTTCTCCTTCGAAATTAATGTGGATTTATTCAAAATTCATGGGAATTTTAGGTTATATTTAACACCAAATCATGCACTAGGGTGTATCTCTTCCATATAGCAGCCGATTAACTTTTATCAGGTTTTATTATCTAAGTAAAACTCACATTGCTTAACCCTTTCCTCCAAGCTACCTTTTAAAGTCGGAGTTTTAATTAAAAGAAAAAAAAAAGTTAGGCAGGCAGGCTAATTAGGGCTAGAGGAGTACACAAGTAAAATTTTGTGACCCCAAAGTGGGCACACTAATTGAATAAAACTTGGAAAAGAGTGCTGAAACGAGCATTGTTGTCAATGAACGGACCGATGAGTTGCGGAGAAACAAAGAATATAGACTCTCAGTTGTCCTAGATGAACGGTGAGCCCGGTCTGGGCACACCTAGGGTTCGCAGTTTGATTTTAGGCAAGATTTCAAGGTACAAATTTTAAACTAATATAGAATAAGGAGATTAGCATACAGCCAAAAAAATAACATAGAAATTTCTTTTCAAACAATTCCTTTTATGCCCTTAAAAAAATCTGGAAGATTTCTTTAAAAAATGAGGGTCTTAAAAAACTGAACATAGCTAAAATATATCAACTGGTTTGTGTTGAGCTACCATCTACTATAAATAAAGAAGGTTCAGAGTAACCTATAAATCCTTTTTCATTCAATTTTTCTGTGCGTACAGAAGAAAATTTTTAGGTGTGTCCAGATCGGACACACCGTGCCGCAAAGGGTTAACAATTCTTTCAATGTGTAAATATTTAGTTCTTGTCTGCGATATAGAAAACAAATACTAGGGTAAGCGTAATTCAGGTATAACTTACTCATGAATGAATGATTTCCGAACGCGTCATAATATTTCATCCTTTATGTATCTTTAAACAGTGCTGAGTACGAAGAGGACACGGCTACAGGACACCATCCGCTTAATGAGAACTGTCTATGTTAGAGCAGGAACAGAATAATCTAGGAAATAAGCCTTGTACTCCTCCCTCGAGGAGATTAATCCATTTCCCTATTTGCCGACGTATCCGCAAAATAATGATCGCTGTGGAAATAAAAAAAAAAGCAAAGAAAGACTAGCAGCTGCCTGGGAGATAAAGATGCACCTCCGTGACGCGGTAATTTTAGCTGCGTGGTTCGTGTATATTACTTTACAGAGTTGTCGGGGAGTAAATGCAGGATTGTTTAAACGTTGACAGGCAGACAGATACGGTGATCTCATCACCCATTTTGACACTTAATGGCAGCAAACAAACATGAAGGGCTGTCCAAGCCCCCTAAAAATCTGATGTGCTCACCACATGACTTTCTTGTACGGAATATTAAATTATACGCACTTTTTGCTGCATTTCTTTTAGTCCTCGAATTTCATTAGAGATAGATTCCTCATTCAACTAATTTTGTTCTCACGTAGCGGCAAGGAAAAACACATAAAACCTCAAAATATTTTTATTAGAAATTGAAAAATATAGAAAACGAAAATAAAATACCAAAGACAGTTAAAACAATCAGAAAACAATTTTTACAATTAAAATTAGAGTTTTTGTGCAGAAACAAGTAATTCAGCCAGCAGACAACAAAGCTGATATTTCGGTGCACAAAAATGAAAGTTTAATTTTAGTCCCACGCGGCAAAAAGACACAAGGTGCAGAAACTGAATTCCTTATTCTGCCAAGTTTCAAAAGTAAACAAATGTCGTAAAATTATTAAGCTTAGCCGCACTTAAACAACAATTAAATTGTTGATAATTCTACAACTATTGCTTGCAGATTAACTAAAAGCATAAAACCCTTAACCGGAAGATAAGAACAATATAATTCAATCATTTTTAAAGCAAAATATGCACTATTTACCAACATATAAGAAATTAAAAAAGTATGTTCCCCGAGCCGAGTAATAGAGTGTATAAATATATATGTAATGTTAAATGATCTAAAATTTACTTAGTTCAAAAACAAGTTTTTCTAATACTTGCGCAATAGCTGCAAAGTAAGATAATAAAAATTTATTTACTGAAGAAATATTGATTATATTATCTCCTAATATAAATTTAGTAGAAGTATCAAAACAGAGGGAACCCATATATAGGAAGTTTAATTCCGAAAATTGTGTTTTAAAGCAACTTGAATGTAAATGTAAAAAAAAGTTTTACGGGAACTTGAATTTAAATCGTGAATAACCAAATTTCAAACTTTGAAAAAGAAATTAAAATTTAAAAGGGAGTAATTATCGCTATTGATCGGAAATGAGTTGACTTTTCAAGGGGAACAAACCAACTCCCGTTCAATGAACAATAATTTATAAATGCTAAGGTGTTTCGTGTTTTATTAAAGTAAGAATGACGATGCCAAACTGGCAAATTAAGTTAGGCCAAAATTGTTGTTCCGGGAAGTGATGGGATTTATAACCAAAGTAGAGTACCAAATAACTCATTCTGAATGAAGCATTTTCACTAACACAAGATTCTTTATAAATTTTGAGTGAAAAGCAATTTATGTAGAAAAATTTATAAGATACTTGAGTAAATGTCCCCCGACCTCTTCGCTTGTATGCATGTTAATTAAAGATTATTTGTATTAAAATAAACAGTAATAATCTCAACTGGAATTATGAAATAGAACTCAATTGATATTATATATAATATATATATACTAGAAAGCCTGGCGGTCATACGAAATGACAGCTGTTTTAGATATTAAAAATTGTAATTAAAATTATTTCTGCAAAGGTATCTGCTAATTCAAACTGAATTACCCAGGGCAGGCGGCGAGGACGCCCCTTTGCTTACTGCCCCACGCGGTTTCCCCCTTCTACTTGTTTAAAGTAGAGTGCAATGAAGGAAACCACTGGCGGTCCATTTCTTAAGAGCAACCGCTACTTCAGTCAATAAAGGTGATTTAAATAATAAAATGTTAATTCACACATCAAAGATCTCTTTGTACACAACATTTCTTGTGTACATCTTCCCATCATTTTTAAGCTCACCTTGCAGAGAACCATCCATTATTTTTAATTTTACGTCCGTTCTTTCACGAACTCTTGAACAGGCAACATAAAGTTGACCGTGTCCAAATGCAGGCTCAGGTCAAAAAATGCCAACACGCTTGAACGTTTAGCCCTGAGAATTATTGTTGGTCATAGCATAGGCAAGTTTTACAGGAAATTGCCTACGTCTCAATTGAAACGGCAACCCTGTGCCGTGGCAACTTCATCCCATTGGCTAGTACAGTTACGCAAGAAACCCATAAACTATCGTCGACCAACAGATACTTAAGCCGCATATAATAAAGATATTTATTTATTTCATTTTATTTGTTTTTTCATCGTTGTCGGTTTTTTCCGGTTGCATATTTCCGAATTCTATTATATATAGGTGTTAAATTGATTTATTAAATGTTAAATGCACGTGCTCTTGTATTTTAAATTTTTCCGGCTTAGCATTCTCATAATATTCGTCACGCGCTGCACTGCACGGGACATAAAACAGTTTACAGTTACGCAAGCAACCAATAAACTATCGGCGACAAACACTTAAGCCCCTTATATATATATAAATTTAAACAAATCTAAATTTTAACAAACATGTATATATGTAAAAAAGCAAATTTAAAGTTAAAATTAAAACATTTGGTGGAGCCGATTGCAACCAAAATAAAAGCTGTATAACTACATATTATAGCAGTGCTATATACAAAATTTCAACGTTCTGAGGCTACTCGTTTTTGAGTTATGCGAAATAAATATATGCGTACTCAGGTACGTACAGACGCCACGAAGATATCTCTTCTGAATCCATTTTAAATAAGTTTTATAATTCGTTTGGGGAAAAAGAGTTCTTTGTTATGTCCTTACGTACATGTCACCTTAAAACATCGTTAAATTACATTCGATAGCGGTGCAAAAGGATATTTTCAATGAAATATGATGTCCGAAATTTTTCGCTATTACAATGCTTCCTTTGCTTCGCACAAGGAAGTAATAGTAATAATAAGTGCTATATATCATTTGTCTGAGCTATTAAAGTTTGGAAAAGTATCTGATATTTTGTAAACGCTTTTGTTCGTTCTTGAAAAAGAAGGAGCTTTTGTGTCTGTCCATCCTCGGTATCGATAAGGTTTTATTGAAAATCTAAGCCAACCTAAGGCTGGTTTCATTGGACAATTTTAAGTTTCGCATTGGCGTGAGATTTTTTTAAAATTGAAATAATTTTGTTTGTTATCAATTAAT